GCAATGGGTAAAACATCATAGTGATAAGGGCTTTGTAATTGCATATAAACAAAAAACATATATAGAGGGAGAGTGAGTGAATGAGTGAAAAGGTGCGTATTGTACAAGTCCTTTTAATGTTTCTCTTATTTCTGTTGTTGTTTCTTCTTCTGATTTTGTGGGGGAGGGGGGGGAGCAATAAATAACGCGTCTTATGTAGATATATATTATATATATAGCTGTTACAAGGTAAGTCTTGTGTGATCTACTTCGACCGCACAGTGGCTCGTCAGATTGGTGTTGCCGCGTTACTCCCTTTCTCAAGTGAGAGTAGCGACTGAACCCCCTCCCTCCTTCCCCACCCCACCCCACCCAAAAAAAAAAAGAGGGAGACTGCATATGTGTGTGTGTATATACAACTCTATATACTTGCATCGCTATATATAAGGATGCACTGATTGATTGATGTAACAAGAACGAAACCCCGCAGGCCCAAGGACCCGGCAGCCGCACCTCGTCATTGCACGCCAAGCTGTAAGCGCAACATTCACCTCCACTCATATGCAGAACGCTTTTCCCTCGACCGCGACACCCTCCCCACGACGCCATCACCCGCCACAACGATGTTGAAAGCAAAAACAAACAAAAAAGAACGGGCCGCCCCAAAGCCCCAACTTACCCTTACAAAAAAAAAAAACATGAGGAAAAGGCGTTTTGCCCCCCTCTCGCTGGCTTGCGTTCCTTTTGATGTTTTTTTCTTGTTGCGGTACTTTTTGCTCCCCGCAACGTGCCCCTGCCGTCCGTCGTGCCCCGGCCTGGTCGCAGGCCACGCACACGCACGGGGGCAGACACAAAGAGAAAAGGGAAAAGACCAAAAACAAAACAAAAAAGTATAAAACGAGAAAAAAAAGGATAAAGTCAGGTAAAGGCAAAGCAAAAAAAAAAGGGAAAGAAACAAAACGCACGCACCAGATGGCGGTAAGAAGAAGGTGGAGGGGTGGTGTGGCAGCTCCCTCAAATTAAAGTTTGGTAGCCGTCGCTGTAGTTGCGGGGTAGGCCGGTGCGCTTTAAATAAGAGTGTAGAAATATATATCTATACGCTGCTGCGCTGCTGCAAGACACGTGAGTGTAGGAGTGAAAGCAAAGTGACGATCCAAGTGCCATGACAGTGGTGGCAGCGCGAGGCCGGCAAACCTATTAGTTATCCAACATCGCGTCGGCGTCGGCATCCTCGTTGCTCATATCGCTGTTTGAAAGACCGTCAAAAGGCATGCTGGTTGCGCTTCCCATCATTCCAGACGACAAGCACTCACTCTTCAGTCCACCGCGGACTTCGTGGCCGTAAAAAACGTTAGGATCAACAATGCCCTCCGCGGCATCTGCAGGGCTACAGGGATGCTTAAAGAAGGGGTGCTGCAACAGCTGCGCCGCGGTGGCGCGTTTGCGAGGGTCCGGTTGCAGGCAATGCAGAAGCAAATCCCGCAGCGTCGCAGAAACGACAACATCCTCACGGAAGTTTTTCGAAGAGCTGGACGTCGTCGCACCACAAATCTCGGATTCCCGCCCAATGGGGGGAATAAACCGCCAAATTTTCTTTGGATGCATTGCAGTCTCAAAGAGGGCGGCGACAGGGTTGGAGTCGGTTTGTGTGGGAGGCGCACCACGTAGGAGTTGCAGGATAGTGCAGCCAAGTGACCACACGTCAGCCGCCGTGCCGCAGCTGTCCAACATGGTGTGGGACTGTAAAATCACTTCCGGTGCCATAAACCCGGGAGTGCCAGAAAACATTTTACCAGAACTTTGCGTCCAACCCCGTTTATTTTTATTGGCCTTGCTACCGTTGCTGCCAGCAGGCTTAGACGGCGATCCAGTGCGAAGGAGGCGCGCGCAGCCAAAGTCTCCCAACTTCGTTACTGGAAACCGCAGCGGAGGGGTGTTGATGTGGGCTCCGCAGTCATCGGCATGTGCATCACCCCACGTCACCAAAATATTCTCCGCCTTGACATCCAGATGCACTACGCCATTGGCATGCATGTAAGACAAAGCCTCAACAATGGGGTTTAGAAACCAGCGCAATGCTTGCTCACGCAGTCTCCCTGCCTCATAGTGCTGACGAACAAAGGACAAAAGCGAACCGCCGGACATGTATTCCAAGTAAATCCGGCAAACAGCGATCCCGCCTGGCTCCAACTCCGTCTCAACTCCATGTAGCTGCACCAGTCCAGGGTGCCTAAGTCGTTGCAAAAGGCGTACCTCCTCCTCAAACGACGCATCTAACAGAATGTTCTTGAGCGAAGTTGTGGGGGTGAAATCCACTTGGCTACTTGAGGGGTGTCTCAGCTTTTGGATTGCCTGGTGCACGGAAACAGCAGTCAATGATGGCGTCTCAATCACCTTCACCGCGTAGTATGCCCCAAAACTCTGCGTGTCTTCGCAAAGCCAAACTGCACCTTGGCGGCCACGGCCAAGCAATTGGCCGCAACAGCGCACAGTTGGTGGGGATCTCAACTCCTGTGAATCCGTCCACGACGTTATCAGCGCTCCCCCCGTGCTGCACTGGTGGCCCTCATCCGCATCCACCACTGTCACTTCATTTCCCGGTTTACCTTTGATATTGGCCTCGGCCGCGGAGAGGCTTCCTGTGCAGGGGCACTTTGTTTCACATCGCCCTGCCCAGGAAGCCAACGTGGCGGAGCCTCGATACGGTGTTGCTGACATGCACGCCTCGTGTCACCGTTATTATCTCCAGACTGTGCAGCGGCAAGAGAACGCGTCCAACTCACACACTCCTCAGAATATGTGTAATATGTCACACCCAATGAATGCTGCTCTGCTTCCTAATGAGCTCGTTCCAGATGCCAGCCTGACAACAGCGCGTATGCCACAGGAGTAACGAATGCCTGTATATACGTATAGATAATATTATAGATACAGAGGGAGAGTGAGAAGGATCTGCCGCAAACTCTTCCTTGTAAGTCCCTTTTCCGGGGTATCTTGTCTTTGTTTTTTTTGGTTTTTTTTCTTTTGTTTCAGCTGCTCTTCTCGTTTAGTTTACGTTTGCTCCGCTCTATTGCGCTGCCGTGGCTCAGCGCGTGTGTGCCTCCTCCGTTTGCCTGCCTGCGGGTGTGTGTATGTTGTGTGTGCGACACGAAAAATTCCCTGTGAATCACGCACGACACGAAGGAGCTCCTCAAACCGACGAAACGCGGCTTCCTCTCCCACGTCCAAGTAGTGTAAAATAAGTGCAGTTAAAATCGCGAAAACCAAAACTAAAACTTTAACTTTAAAAAAAAAGGTTGGCCTGCCTACGAAAAAACTGCAAGCAAAAAAAAAAGAAAACGGACTATTTCACCTTTCCCCTTTCGCCTTTTGTTTCCCACTGCAGCCTTCCTCCCCTCCTTATTCTTTTCTGGCTTTTTTTCCGTTTTGCCTGTTTGAACGCCACTTCGCACCAAAAGAGAGAAAGACAGAGAGAAGAAATAAAAACAAAAACAAAGAAGAATGAGTGGAAGTGAGAAGCACCATGCTTTTTTTCTTTCTTTCTTTGGTGCGTGCCCGCTTAGCTCTCACACGCGGGGGAAGGAGAACAAATGCCGCAGCAGCACGCCGAACCGGAGAGGGTTAGGGGCGTTTTACTGGGCATTGACTACAAGGGAGAGATGGCCACAAAAGCAAATAACTGCATGCTTTTGGAGGAAGTAAGACAGAAACAAAACAAAAAAACATATATAAAAATGTATGTAAAAAGCCAGAGCAAAACCACCACACACATACACAAGCCATTATTTTCAGCGCTTGAACAGCTACCACCGTTCCCCCACTTAGACACATCCTTCTACATGCTACCTGTCACCCATTACATCCTCCATCGCCCACAAAAAAAAAAGAGCTGAGAAACATAGAAGAAAGGCAAAAAAAAAAAAAACGCACACAAAATGCTAAAAATCTCACAAGAATATGAATACACTTTTTTTTTTTTTTTTTTTTTAGTGGGTCATAAGCATACAAAAACGGCCTATACATAAAACATTACAACAATAACGCGTACATGAAAGGTACACGTGTGTGTGTGTGTGTGTGTGTGTGTGTGTGTGTGTGTGTACATGCATACATATATATATATATATATATATA